AAAAAAAAAACTGGTACTACGATTGTAATTATCCAATTACTGCATGATATATACATATATGTATGAATGGTGGGAAATACGTATCATAATAATAAGAAAAACCCGAACGAGCACTTGTTCCTCAAATGATGTCAGTCTGGATATGCAAATGCAAAATCTGGATAGACGCAAAAACTTATCCTATACTAAACGCCTATTAACTGCTGAAAATTTCTTAATTCCCGATGAGAGCGATTTTACGTGCACTTTCGTGTCCAAAAATATTTAATCTTTTCAGCCTCAAAATACATGTTCGAAATGAGATTTCTCTTCGACCTTAGAGTAAGAATAGCAAACGCCTATACCTTGCCACGAGCCACTTCAGATTAAGCAGTCTAGGCATTCCATGAAACAACGATTCATCACGATTCAACGATGTGGTAATTTTTAAATCTTTACTGGATCATGTGCTTTTAAAATGCAACACCTTACTGACATATAATGATAGATTGCTCTATTGATTTCGCGCAAGTTGTATAGGAACGGCTAAAGCTCGCCATTTCACACAAAGATCATTACTTTGGGAAATAGATTATAGTTCTTTGTAGACAATACCAGTGAGTCATTCTGTTATGACTATATTAGTTGCCAGATCGGGAGGAAGCACACCTAGAAACAGTTCATCGCCGAGTATATCATCTTTACTAAATACATATAATATATCCACTCCCTCACTGTGGAGCGACGGCGCAGCAGAAAGCAGATGAAAACAGAATGGATCAACAGATGTAGCACGAGAATTCGCATCTTCCGCATGAACGTATTCTGCGCTTTTTATGAAATGTATGTTGAAGCCTTGCACCACAGTTCCTATTGACGTTTGCTGCATCCACTTCCCTTCAGAAACATCAAAGAATTTCTGTACTGCCTTCCTCCCACCCACACGATTCGCGTTCGAACCGAAACAAGAATTATGGTTCAAAATGGATTTCCGCAATGTAATGTTACTTCGTTTACTTATTGCTTCACGTAGCAAAGTCAAAAAGCTTCAATTAATACAACTGCTTTTGGAATACATCTTTGGGAGGACTACACCTCTGTTACTACACTTACACCTCGGACACTTATTCAGCGACTGGCCACACTCTTCTGTTGACAGGAACGGGGGGTGTTAGCGTGTTCTACCCCATAATTTACCACTTACCAAAACTACTTCTTGGAGATCGTAGAGTGATCATCTCTTTTTTCTAATGATCACTGTAATGACCCTACAACACGTTTCGAGCATAACTTTCATCATTTTTTAGCTACAATTATAACTCCTAAAAAGTAGTTCTGAAATCTACTCGCCCGCAAACATACAATTACATCCAGTAAGCGGTTTCTCTTCACCAAGGGCCGGGAAAGTTGTGCAACAATGTACGGAAAGAAAATTTATGGTCATTGCTAGCGAACATTTGGTCTTTGGGAGAAGAGACAGTTTCTTCCGTCTCACCACCTGTACAACACTCTTCGTCATCTCACCTAGATGGAAACGGGTGGCATGGCTTCACATCTCCCGCAGTGGGCCGACGTGCTCAGGTATTGCACTGAATTTCGTATTACTCGAATAAAGTGCTTTCGTAGAATCGTTTCCGAGGTTTTTTTGTAAATTTGAAATGTACACTGGCGTGCAAAATTTAGGGACGAGATGGATAATGTGACATAAAACATTGAGGACTGGATGGAAATAAATGAAAATGTGGAAGTATATTGCCAGACCTACAACGGTTGTGCGCAGGAAGCTGGACTTCCCTTCGATGAGGAGTAGTTCGAAGAAGGCGCGAAGTACAAAATATGGCGCAAATCGAGGCAGTTGATAGAGGTATGGAAGGAAAAGGTTATGTCAATGGTGAGTTGCTACAAATTACTGTGGTAGTAACCTTCGATACATAATGTCTTGCAAACATCATCTGGATAACTCCATACGAGTAAGGATTATCGGGAAACTCGAATAAGGTCGAATCATGTCCACTGTAGCTCGGGAGCTCGGGGTCGCTCACAGCGTTGTTTCACGTGTATGGAGAGCCTCTGGTACCGCTATCCGAAGGAGAGGAGATGGTCGATCGAAATCAACTACACCAAGAGCGGACCTCTATACCATAGAGCAGGCAAGAGATTCACGTCAATCAGCTTCTGCCATCTCACGCATACACTGGCACGACGACTGCATGGTGGCAGTCCCTTCGCCTGGCGACGGCTACATTGTATTCCTTTGACCCTGTCGAATCAGCGAGATCGTATAGGGTGGTGTCAGGAGCATAACGAACGGACCGATGAGGCATGGAGTCGTGGTCTCGTTCCGGATGAGAGCGGATTCAATCTTAAAAGGGATTTTGAACGCACTCTCATGGCGAGAGTTGAGAACGAGCACTTCTCTCAGAAACATTGTGGAACTTGATCGTTATGGTGGTCGAGGTGTTATGGTATGGGAAGGCATCATGCCTCGCAGCCGCACTGACCTCCTAATTTTCGAGCGTGGAATCCTTACCAGTCAGCGTTACTGTGAAGAAGTCTCTTTCCTAGTGTACGCGTTTTCAGAGCTGCAGTGGGCCCTGAATTTCCTTTTATGACAATGCGCGACCGTATCGAACAGGACAGGTGGAAGACCTGTCAGCACATGAGGATATCCAGCGAATGAAGTAGCCTGCCTGTTCTCTCGACCTGGATCCAATCGAGCACGTGTAGGAAGCATTGGGTAGACGCATTGCAGCACGTCCAAGTGAACCAGTGACCATCCAGCAATTGTCAATTGCACTGATAGAAGAATGGAAAGCCCCACCACAATAACCCATTAATAACCTCAAGGAAAGCATAGAGTCGCGTTGGAGAGCACTCATTGCTCTCCGGGGTGATCACACACCCTATTAGGAACTGCGTGGATTGTTTTGCGGTACCAGGATAAATTGTGAAGCCTTATGTGAAATCGGTACCTTTGAATAAAAATGTCATATCTTTGTGTCTTATTTGGATTTTCTGGCAGTTGCTTCCTGGGCAATAGCGTAATTGTCCTCTCTTGATATGGTATTCATTTCATTGAGTTATGCCATCTAGCAGAGGTACAGTAATCGAAATGTGCTTTCGTCCCTAAGTTTTGCACACCAGTGTAGATTTTAGATTAGCTTTGAGAAAACACATACTTTAGTTAACATGTCATCCTCATTTTTTTGCGGCCCAGCACACTTCCCTTGTAAATTTTGATCCGATTTTTTCGGAAAGTGGGATCAACTTTGATAACGCAAATTATTAGAAAAGTAAAAAAGCCTTTGTTACTCAAGTGAACATGAATTTGCAGTTGTTCTTGAAATTGGTTGAACAGAAATTTCTAGATTCAGTTCTTGAAATGATGATTCTATATCCTATGGAATAGCAGACCCCATAGCGATCACCAGGTCATCGCAGGTTATGATAACTGAATGGGATCAATTCAGGATCATCGTGGTCAATAATACTCACCAATTCATTGATCGAAGAAGCGAGCTCTGCTGGTACCATGTTCGCTTTACTCTGCAATGACTGCAACAATCACTTTGATACAAATGAGTTGAATTTTCCTTAATGTGAAAGACATGAGTTAATTGCAAGACGCACATAACGTTGAAAACTATCACCACCTTTGTCCCTCCAAATCCCGAAATCCCACGCTTTCTTCGCGGATTCTACCCTACGGAGAAAACTTCGGGCATATAGAGCTTTAATTCTGATTTGCAGTGAGGCAGCCACTCTATCCCCGCAGTTGCTGCGACTCATGGAGCACATGAGCGGTTTAGTGATATCTTGGTGTGTTTTGTGTAAAGCCAGGATTGAAAGGGCTCAAACATTTATCCGTTAGCTTTCGCTGATATTTGCCTTCTCAACTAATCAATGATATCACATTGATTACCTAGAGCGATCGAATGATTACCCGAAGGCGTTCAGCGAGGTACCTGCACTATCACTAAACAAAGAAGGGCAGTCTGATTTTCACGGAAGTTTGGACTGTGTCCAACATTGGTATATCGATGGAGTTTTTCACATTGTTCACTAATCTGTCGGATAGCCCGGCTAGCGTAGGGCTCTTCTCCTCCACTGTTGGACCTGGTCTGCCACCTGCATCGCTTCCATAACTGAATACACCGGTCCAAAATAACAGGAGATACGATTCCTTCACAAGCACACATACATATGTACACGACCAATACTCTTCGCGAGCACTCGTCACGAGCGGCGCTCTGCTCACGTCATGGCTGTTTAGGCTAAATACCTGCTTGTTTCAACTTTCTGCGAATTCTCAGTTGCGATTAAGCTTTTTTCGCATGCCCCGTTCTGCCCCTCCCTCCTTCACCGACGAGTGGTGCCGCTCAGTCATTTCCTACCACCTGCCATCTCTTGATCCTACCGCCTGCGTAACTTTCTGAATTTGACCGAACTAGCTGCAATGGGAGCCCTGCCACCTACCATCGGTACTCCCATTCTGCCGCCTGTGCTTTTACCGAACTTGATTGCCATAGATTAGGTCCAGGGAAGCTCGAGCCATGGAGTCCCGGCTAGAAACTTACACACATGTCAACTCACACACCGACACATAGAACAGGCATTTACACACATACACAGACACACCGCTTCGACAAATCAACAGGCACGTTTCCCATAGTAGAGTCAGATGTACAAGTCGGGGATACGATAGGGTCTTTTAGGATAACGGCGTTCCACTGCATTCCTTAGCCTAGCCTCCGACCTATTTTTTCCCTGACTTCAAGATCTTTTCAAAAAGAAATTAAGAAGAGTTATGAAATTTTGATCTCAGCTCTGACTACCACATTGCAAGTCCCGCCTACCACATTCATACTAACAACTTTCCCTTCGATAGCCACTAATCACTTTCCGCACTTCAGATAGAGTTATGAGTTTAGTCATAGTCTCGCTCACCTCGAGAGACTCCCCCGCCTACTATTAAAATTTTGATTCTCTTCCGTTCAAGAGCCCGTCCGCTTACCTTATTTATCGAAGCTTTGCTGACTTTCCTCAAGTATAACACACCTCAACCATTCCTCACTACTACAATTTTTCTGATCTTCAGATCTTTCGTTGGAATCGAACTATGAATCTGAATAGGAACTTGCCGGCCCATTCCGAATACACTTCGCACAACTCGACGAGACTCTTTTGCCTGACTAAATGGCTCACTCCCAACCTGTGCCCATTTCTCCAAGCTGTCTCTGTTTTCCTAGAGTCCGATTAACTACATTTGGGTTAGGCGTTTGTCGAGACAAACCTAAGCCTCATGTACGCTTTCTTCTACTGAGCTCATATTGCTCAGCTGATCTTGCCCTAGTTCCCATCTAACCTGAAGTTAATCCAACTTCTTGGAGTTCTTTTTCAGGTAATACCGAAGTTCGTCACAAAAAAAGATACATACATACATAAATACATACATACATACATACATACATACATACATACATACATACATACATACATACATATATACATACATACATACATA